GGGGGGGGGGGGACGACGGGACACCACTGATGCAGTCCATCCCCCTCATTGCTCCGCTGAAGAAACAAAGTTCAGGAAATCGCAGCTAGTAGCAACAGCTAACAAGGCTACAGCAGGTACTAAGACCGGGCATTGTTCTGAGCGCTGTGCATCTATTCACCCACATGCTACCCATAAAAACCAGGATTCTCCCCATTTTACAAAGGAGAAAACTGAAACACAGAGAGGTTAAGTAACTTGCCCAGGGACATACAGCTCTGAAGGGGTAGAGCTTGGCTCAGGGTCCAGAGTCCATGCTCATCATCACGCCTGCAGAGTCTTTAATATAAGTGAGTGAGGCATCCATTGTTTTAGAGTAGAAACACAGTTTATTTATCTTCTTTAAACTCTTTTAAATTCAACATCCCTCACTTTAGTACCTTTAAACGAGAAGCGCACCTTTGATATTCCACAGGGGCGCTCCAATTAATTTCCTTAATCATGTAATGCACCATTTCCTCCAAGACATAAGGGGTTTCTGGATGCTGCAGACCTTATCCCAAAGCTGCACTGACTTCCCTGGGAACGCAGGACAGGAGCCGGCTGGCAGTCTGCTCCCTCCACTAGACAGCCTGGGGGGGAACTGCAGTTAGTATGGAAACCAGGGTGCCTGACTCTGTGGAAAGCACCAGTCCTGCTTGATGGGTTTTCCGTTGAGCAAACAAAATAGAGAAAAGCAGGGACAGGCAAGGAACCCTGAGGGTTTCCGGGTGCTGCCTGAGGCGACCCGAGTGACCTGTTCACAGCAGGTCACTCGCCTGGATACGAGCTACCAGATGCCAACCATAATTTTAGAAAACAGACCCGAGTATGTGATGTTCACTCACTGTCACTGTCTCAAGTAAATTGCCCCCCAGAAAGCCATGGAAATGGTTTGGCAAAAAGCGGTGAATCAGACTCAAGCTCCCGCCATCAGGGGACCTGGCATCGGGGGGTCTCCTCTGCCGCCCGTTTCTCTTCCAGCCCTTCGCCCACCGTCACCCATCACGTTCCTACATGTAACAGAGTCTGAAGAGTGCATTTCTGTTGTTGGAAATTTTCCAAATCTCCGTTTCACATTTAAGTGAACGAATAAAAAGGAATCTTTTTCTTTGCCTATTTTTTTTTTCACACCTACCAAAACTAGGCTAGGCTGCTTTTCCTTGCAGAGTCGCATCGTATTGACCTGGCTCAGGGACAGGCCTGTACATCGAGCCGCGAATCTCTGGCAGGAAGCAAGAGTTGTGCAGATTGGAAAAAAACACACAAGGGTCTAATTTTATCTTTCAAGGATGAAGAATACACGCTGCTGGCACAATAAACTACAGAAAGGACGTGAAACACACCCGTTTCTCAAAGGATGGGGAGGAAGGACAGAGTGGCACCTACAGAGCAGGGAGAGGGCCAGGGTCACCTTTACAGAAAACCCAGAAGTGACCAGGCTCCAGCTACACCTCACTCGGGTCCTTTCCCTTCAGAGCACCACAGCCCTGTCCTAATGTTCCCCCAGCCACCCACAGGGGAGAGGGGCAAAAGATCACCCCGCTGCCCGCAGTTTCACTCACCATCCCCCTAGCTGTCCGCTCTCCGTCACACGGTTTCTGCTCTAAAGCCCAGCCGGCCAGCTGCCACCAACCTCAGCACTGCGCTGCTCCCCCAGTCACAGATGCCAGACATGAGCCCTGGGCCTTGACACCACCCAGTTCACCACTGACTCCTCGGCTGCCAAACGCACACTTCGCCTGCTTACCGGGCAGTGGAACTGATGTCTACGCCACCAACCGTAATTATGATGACATGTAAGCAAGGTGTCGCCTCTCCCAGATCTGTCCTGAGAGAGCCTTCTCAAGCATATTCTGCCTAAGCTATGAAGAGCAGGGGGCAATAAATACACACACACACACACACACACACACACACGCACACATTCCTTCCCCAGGCAAAACTCCAACAGAGCCACAAGTCCTTGGTTTTTAAACATGCAGATGTTTCAGGTTGTGGCCACCATCACATAGAATAGCTAATTATGTTTCCTCTAGTCCAAATCTCCAGCACCCTAATAGTATTCCTCCGGCCAAAGTCAAATACTCAGCCCCTAAAGGGGGGTGGGGGTGGAGGAGGGTAACCTCGGTGAGCAGGGCCTCTGTTAGCCTGTAGCACCTCTTCCAGCTTTCCACTTATAAAGAAGGACACCAGGGCGACTCTCCGTCCCAGGCAAGCCCTCCCAAGTGGAGAGGAAGGCTGAGCCAGGTCGCCAGGCACCTCTGCTCAGGCGCCACCAGTGATCCAGGGGGGGCACCCGTGTGGAGTGGGCCCCCGCTGACGCGCTGCAGAAATCAGCCCTCAGACCTGAAAAGCCCAGCTGCTAGGCATCCCTAACCATTACTTTTCTTGACTGTAGATTATCAGGCACAGAGCAGGCACTTTTGGCTGCCATCAATACATTTTTGGCACGAACACCTCACTTTTGCCTGCTCATCCTACAGTATCTCCCCAAAGGGCACAGCAGTCCTCAGTATCTGATCGGCTCAAATGTCAAGTCCTCAGGAATGCTCTCCTGACACCCTGTGCCAGCAGGGCACTTTGCCATACTGTGACTTTAATAAGATATATACGTTTGGTCTCCACGCCTGCTCCTGGCACAGAGCTCCTAAAACCCTTGACATTTCCTGATAAGAGCAAGAATAGAGGTGAGAAAGCACATCTTTCGTTATTCATAACAGACTCCTTACAACCACACCTGAGTTATACTACTGAGGTGACTTTTGGAAAGCCCCTAGATAACCACAGGGATGGGGCTGGTTGCCAGGGGCACCAACCATGTGATTAGATGGTTGGAACTCTCAGCCCCCCACCTCCTGGGGAAGGGAAGGGAGACAGATGTTGAGCTCATGACTAATGGCCAATAATTTAATCAATCACTCCTATATAATGATGCCTCCATAAAAACCCTAGCAGAAGGGGTTTGGAGACCTTCCAGGTAGGTGGACATCTGGAGGTGCTGGGAGGGGGCCCTCAAGTGGGCATGGAAACCCTGCACCCCTTCCGCACACCTTGCCCTGTGCAGTTCTGCCATCTGGTTGTTCCTGAGTTGTACCCTCTTATAATAAACTGGTTATCTAGTAAGTAAACTGCTTTTCTGAGTTCTGAGTGTTGCTCTAGCAAACCCTCGGTTCTGAGGAGCGGTCATGGGAACCTCTGATTTATAGCCAGCCGGCCAGAAGCACAGGTGACAACCCAGAGCTTGTAATTAGTGTCGGGAGGGGGCAGTCTTGTGGGACTGATGCTATCTCCAGGTAGATAGTGTCGGAATTGAGTTAAATTGTAGGACACTGGTTGGTGGCCACAGAGAACTGCAGAATTGCTTGTGTGGGAAACACACCCACACATCTGGCTTCAGAAGTAAGTGTGGCAGAAGGGAAGAGCAGTGCAAGAAAATAGGCCCCTTCCTCTTTCACACCCGTGACTACTTCAAAGCACTCACCAGACGTGACAATATAAACACCTGGAGCCACCGAGGTTCTCATCTTTCCCTCAGTCCCTCCACCCACACCCTTAAACCCATTAGCAAGTCCTGTGGACTCTCCACCCAACACATATCCCCTCCCAACCCTCACCCACTTCTCTTCATTTCCACCACCACCTCCGGGGTCCCAGCCACCATCATTCAGCCACTGGGACGACTGATGCCATCAGCCGCTGCTCCAGCTCCCAGTCTTGCCTCCCTTCATTGCCCGTAACAACCAGCGTCAACTCTTAAATTGTTATCTAGACCACACCCTGCTTTAAATTTTGCAGTGGCTTCCTGTGCCCTTTAGACCAAACCCCGCACTTGGACCGGACACCTGCATTACCAGGCCCCATCCACCTGTCCAGCCTCAACTCCCAGCCCTCACTACTTGGCAGCTCCTGTCTCTGGAACTTGGCAAGATCATTCCCACCCAGGACCTTTGTCCTTGCTATTTCCTCTGCCCGGAATACCCTGTCCCCAAGTATGTGAATGGCCGACTCCCTGTCCCTCAGTTCTCAGCTCAGATGTCCCCTCTGAAAAGAAGTCTCCCCTGACCACCTTATCTAAGCCCGGCTGCTCCCCACCTCCCAAGTTCCTTATCATTTCAGTTCTCACTGTGCAGGCTGTTTGTTGGGCTGTGTATTATCTAACCCTCCCCAGCAGAATGTGAGCTCCATGAGAACAGGCGCTGGGTCTTGTTCACAGCTCAAGTCCCAGCACCTAGGAGAGNAATGTGAGCTCCATGAGAACAGGCGCTGGGTCTTGTTCACAGCTCAAGTCCCAGCACCTAACCTGGCACATAGTAGGCATGGAGGAACTATCTAGAGAATAAATGGGTATATTTAATTAGTACTTGTCTCTCTCATGGGCAAGAAATTATCACGTTCCTCATTGTAACTGCTGGGCCCAGCGCAATATCGGACGCTCAGATATTTGAAAGAAGAACACAGAGAGTGTGTGTAGACGAGGGGGGAAGAGGGCAGAGAGAATGGAGTGATCAGAGAAAGGAGTGAATTTTATTGTGCAAGGACACCAANGGGCAGAGAGAATGGAGTGATCAGAGAAAGGAGTGAATTTTATTGTGCAAGGACACCTGGTGAGCGGTGCCTGGTGGCAAAGACTGGTGACCCTTCCCTGCTCCCTAACACGTCCATGCCTCATTCTCCCTTTCCCCTCCTCTGTGTGTTCTTCTCTCTCCATCTCTAGTCTTCTTCTCCTTTCCTCTGTCTCATTTTTGTTTCCAGCAGCCTGTGCTTTGGGCATCTGAAGGTGAAACAGATGCTCTACAAGTAGCTTTTGGGCCAGAAAGGTCAGTAGCGTGAAATCTAGGTTTCCTCTCTGCACCCTGCCGCGCATCACCGCCTCTCGGGAAATAAGTGGCCCATTCGTCCCGTACAACAATGAGATCCGGGCTCATTCAGAAGAGACTTTAATTACCCAGCATGCTGAGCAACCGAGGGCAGGAGTGTGTGCCCCGTGGTTGCCCACTCCCTGGTGGCGCAGGGACAGGGAGAATTTCTCCAGGGCTGTGGATTTTCCATTCCAGTGAAAAGCCACCCTGGCATCTTTCCAAAGCGTTTCAGAGACTGTTTGGTCTTCCTAAATCAACAACCACCTCAAAGGCAGTGATCATGTCCAGTTCACTCGATTGGCAATTACTGAACATAAATCCTAAATCGAGGGAGTTTCTGGGCAATTTTAAGTGACCTCTTCCTTCCCAAACACAAAGAATGCAAGTGCCCCAAGAGTGCGGAATTGAATGGCTATATATAAGTGAACTCTGGAAGGCTGAATAATTGTCCATTGGTTTAAAGTAAATAAGAGGAAAGCCAAGGGGAGGCCTAGGAAAAGCACAGCAGAGTAAAGGAAAGAGAAGACTGTCCAGAAGCTCAGAGAAAAGCACACCTTTGAAAAAGACTTACTGCAGCACCCAGAAGAAAAGGATTTTAAAACCAGTTCAGTATCCGTAACAGAGAACAGGAGGCAGAGCTTCCGTGCCACTGAAGCAGCAGCGGCACATCCCCTACGACAAGGGGAGATGGAAAAGCAGCCGAAGAGGAAGACTTACGAAGGAAGCAAAAGCAGGACTTGGCTTCAGAGATCTACCAGAAGTCAAACCCTGGTTCTGCCACTTACTGCGTGCGAGCTCCCAAAAAGCCCAACCTCCTAGGCCATAACTCATCTCCTGAGGCCCCTATAAGGAATACATTTAAAAACATATGGGCGGGCATGTCACTCAGAGGAGGCTCTCTGTAACAATGGGTTCCCCTGGATCCTGATCATTATGTTCATTTCCATCTCTAAGCATGTTTCATTCTTGTTGAATATGTTCCCACCCATTCAATCCTAGTCATCCTTCAGAGCCATCAAAAGGCACACTCCCTCTGAGAAGCCCAGGGGGGTTTCTCTCCTTTCTGACCTCTCACTGCAATTAGTGCTTTCATTAAAAAACTGTAATACCTTATACTAAGTAAAATAAGTCGATCAGAGAAAGACAAATACCATATGATTTCACTTATATGTGGAATCTAAAGAACATAATATATGGACAAACAAAACAGAAACAGACTCATAGATACAGAGAACAAACTGATGGTTGCCAGATGGGAGGGGGGTTTGGGGAGGAGGCTGGGTGAAAAAAGTGAAGGGATTAAGATGTACTGATTGGTAGTCACAAAACAGTCATGGAAATGTAAGGTACAACATAGGGAGCATAGTCCATAATGTAATTACCATGTATGGTGCCAGGTGGGTACTAGAAATATTGGGGGGGTCACTTTGTAAATTCTATAAATGTACACCTGAAACTATTATAAAAATATTAAATGTCAACTGTAATTGAAATATAAAAAAATTAGTAAATTGCTTCTAAAAGTCTAATATGGAATAAAATATGGCTTCATATTTATATGAAAAAAACTTTGCAATATTTGAAAGGACAACTTCTCTGAAGTCGGATATCCTCTAGAATGCTGGGAAGTCTTGAACTCATAACAACTTGTTAAGCTGGGCTCTCTGGCTACAAAGAACAAAGAGGAAGGGTCTCCCCCAATGACTGCCTCCTGGGGCGGTCCTGGTCCCCACAGGCACAGTCTGTAGAACCACCCTCCAATCACCCCTCCTTCAGGGGAGGTGGGAGCCTCAGAGGCCAGCAAGGAGGAAAAGAGGAAATACTAAAGGTCAGAAGCCTAGGAGTGAGTGGTTAACTCGGATTTATAATGTGGGAGAGAAGGGTGTTTGTGGCTTTTGTTGCTTTGCAATCTCAGGGTAAACCAGGCCATGGGAGACTGGCGTCCAGCATATAAGTCTGCTGAACTCTTGGGTGACTCTAAGCACATCCCATTCTTACCTATATTGTGCTTGAAAGTGGCTTTGCACAAAGCTTTGACCTAGAGAAAGCGGAGCCGATGGCGACAGGTGGTTCTCAGGGGTTTTACTGGCTTCGGGCTGAAGCTGCAAAGAAATGAGGAAAGGAAATTAATACACCTCCCATCACTCCACAGCTTCTAGACGGCGGCGGCTGGGCCTCCTCCTGGCCACGCCACCCCTTCGGGGCCTGGACCCTGCAGAACCTCAGTGCTGCCTTTACCGTAATTCCTTGCTCCTTCCATCTCTTGACCTCCCAAGTTCCCTGAGAGGATGAGCTGAAAGAGCAGAACTGAAGCACGAAAACCTCGGTGAACACTCGCATACTCCCCCAGCCTTGACTCCTACCCCTGAATTTACTACCCTGTTCTTTTTTGTTGTTGTTGTTAATCCTTGCCTGAGGGTATTTGTTTTCTATTGATTTTTAGAGAGAATGGAAGGGAGAGTGGGGGTGAGGGAGAGAGAAAGAAAGAAACATCGATGTGAGAGAGACATCGATTGGTTGCCTCCTTCCCATGGGATCAACCTGCAACCCACGCACAACCCCCTGATGGAGAATCGAACCCATGACACTTCGGTGCTCCGGCCAACACTCTAACCACTGAGCCACACCGGCCGGGGCAACTACCCTGTTCTTTCTCTCCATCAGGCTGGGCCTCGTGTGTCTAGATGCCTCTAGTACTTTTCACCGGGACGCGCGGCCATGACTTCAAACACATCCCCACCAAAGTTTCCACCTTTTAAACCTTTCTGTCCACACTTTCCAGTGAGCCAGGCTTCATGTGACCACCACCCTCTCAGACAAGCCACCCTGCACCGCAGGCTAATGCATATGCCTCCTTCGCTCACAGATGAGCTCTGTTGAATCTTTCCTCGCATCCCCTTATGTTTACATTTCCTGTTGTTGCTGTAGCAAGTTACCACACACTGGTGGCTTAAAACAACAGAAACGGATTCTCTCACAGTTCTCCAGGCCAGGCAACCAAAATCAGAATGACTAGCCCCAAACCGAGGCCTTGGCAAGGCCACACTTCCTCCGGACATTCCTTGCCTCTCCCAACTCCTGGTGGCTACAGGAATTCAGTGGCTCGCGGCCACTTCACTGCAGGCTCCAGGCCAGCATCTTCAAAGAGCCAGGGAAATGGAGCATGTGAAGGGTCTGGGGTGAAGTATACCAATGTCTGAAATTTAACTTAAAATGCATCAAAACTATAAGATGAGGAAAACAGGGAGGAGATGGTGAGTAGATAGAAGGATGAACAGATGGGTACATACGTGATAAAGCGATTTTAATAAAATACAATTAGAGAGTCTAGGTGGTAGGTACGAGGTGTTCACTTCATAATTAATTCAACTTTGGAAATTTCCCAAAATAAAACAGTGGGGCAAATTAAGGTGACAAATACTCAGAATGTGCCACTATTTTTATTAAACCCAATATGACCAGAATACAGGATGTGCAAAGGGAAGCAGAAAGCAGGGCTGGAGAGGGAGTCTGGAGCCACACTGGGTGGGGCCTTCGATGTCCGAAAGAAGACTGCCTGGTTCAGTAACCGGCATAGTACCAGAGTTAAAAATTAACCTCTAGAGTCGGAATGTCTGGGTTCCAATGTCTGCACTGGAATTTAGCTGGCCGGTAGGTAGGGTTACTCACCCTCTGAGTAAGCCAGCTCCATAACTTACCTAATCTCTTTACTCCAAGGTTTTCCAACTGTAATAAAAGGATAATGAATGATAATGCCCACCTGATAGAAAAATCTTCAGATTAAGAGAGTTAATATATAGAAAACACTGAAAGCAGTGGCTGGCACACAGTGAGCACTGGTACTGTTACACATCAGGGAGTATCTGAATGGTTTGAACCTCCTGGTGGCAACATGCATGGAGAGATGCTTTACCTGGACAGACGTGCACAGGAGGCAGGGGGTGAGTCTGGGGTTAAGACACAGACTGGGAGGCTCAGGGTCCAGGTCACAATGGGGTGAACTAGAGTAGGAGCCGTAAAAAGGATGAGGGATGGACTCAGACACCCGTGTGCGCAGCTCATCGCTGAGTACCTGATGGGGGAGCAGAGGGAGAGAAGGGGACAGATACACAGGACCAGCTCCAAGCTTCCAACCTGGTACCTGGAGAATGCCTGGTCCATTCCCAGAGTCAAAAGAAGTGGGTCAGGGAAGGGTATGCGCGTCTGAGGGGCATCCACATCCAGCAGGGACAGCTGACAGCAAATACACGAAGGGCTCAGAGGCGAGAACTCAGATGTAGAGCGGACATGGTGTTTGTGGCTGCCCAGGATTCACTCCTCTTCTTGGTAGAAGCCCCCCTTTGGAACACTGAATCCAGGGGGAGGTGGGAAGGCTCTCTAACCAGGGGCCTGCTCTTCCTTACCGAAGCACAGGCACCTGACCCCAGCTAGACTCTGCGATGAGCTGGCCTTGCACGGGGATCACAAGCACAGTGATCAAAAGGCTGAAAGCAGTGATCCTGGCAGAATCCAGGCCAGAGTAGTCCTGCCACAGACACAGCCCCGCCCCAGAGCTGTCTGGTTCTTGAAGGTTCCAAGCCTGGTTCTTCAGCCTTCCCTTTGGTCCTGTGTGCCTCCCTTCTGCCTTCTCATGCATTCCCTTCTATTTGAGACAGCCGAACACCTCACAGTGACACGGACGCTTCTGCATCAAGGTCATAAAGCAGCTTATCGGGAGCGGCAGTGGGCGGGATCACCCAGGGCTGGGGTGTGGAAAGAGGAAATCCTGAAAGAGGCTGGGGCGAGGGGCGGCAGAGGAGCACTCACAAAGCATGGGCCATGGGGTCAGGCCAGGCTGGCTCACCTCTGCTGGCCAAGGAGCCTCACTCCACATCTGAAAGGAACAGGAGTATCCCACACCCCTCACAGGGCCACCATTAAAATCAGAAAAGATGACATGAGAATCCTGCCCGGCACACAGTGGGTGTTTAATAAATGTTAGCTTCCTGGTCCTCCCCCCAGTCTCATCCTTTCCTTAACTCTGAAAGATGGTGCTTTCTCTAAGATAAACTGCCAAAAGGACTGCTCGTGTGAGAGTGTCCACAGGAGAGTAAAAATAGGCCCTTTCATGAAAACATTTGAGAATCATTACAGTTACAGAGAAGAAAGTAGTCCTTACAGTTTCTATCCGTTTCAATAAATCTATCTATCTGGCTTTTATATGTTTTGAAACAGAAATAACCTCAAAAAGAAAAAGTGTTCAGAGTTATGCAGAGGACAGGCCCCTTCCGCCCTGGGAAGGGACAACGAAGCTTCGTGCAGAATCAACCCACCAGCTCTGCTCCTTCCCTTCCAGCTCCGGCAGTGAGATCTCTGCAGGGGGCCCAATTTTATGACCGAAGATTTCAGTGGCGGCTTCAACCCCAGACAGAGAAAAAGAGCTTTTCTGGCTTCAATCAGGTTAAATGAAGAGCTGGGCAGCTCCTCTCTCTGGCTGTCCTTGCCCAGTCATGGTGTACTCCTAACACTCCTGCCCCTTAAAGGATCAGGGAGCAGCCAGGGCGGCCAGAGCAATGAGCGAGGGGCAGAGGGGCCTCGAATCAGGCTGAGTGCTTGGCAGGCCCAGGCAGGGCAGGCCCTGTCGGCCACCTAGGAGTCCAGATTTTGTTCTAAGCACCATAGGAAGCCACCTGAGGAATTTAAGCAGGGTGACACGATCTTGTTTCCTTTCTGAAAAGATCACTCTGGCTATAGTGTGGAAAACATATAATAGTGCAGCATATTGGAAATTGGAATTATGGCTGCTTTACATGGGTGTTGAAGTTGTTAAAAAGAATTATTTGCAGGTCCTCTTGGCTTAAATAAATTCAGTGCTGTCTTAAAGAAAGGTTTGGTTGAAAGCAAAGGCTCTCACCAGTGGAAGGAGGGGTGCTTTTGCCCCCCAGGGACATTTGGCAATGCCTGGAGACATTTTTGGTCATCGATCACAATTGGGGATGCGGTTGACATCTACTGGATAGAGGGATGCTACAAATACTACAATGCACGGGGTAGCCTTCACAACAAAGAACTGCCTGGCCCCAAACATCAAAAGTACTAAGGTTAAGAAACTCTGTTTTAGATTTTTATTTCCTAGATCGGATCCTGGCTCTCCCACTTGCTTGCTGTGTGACTTGAGGCAAGTTACTTAACATCTCTGTTCTCCTGCCTTTATCTGCCACCAAGAGACAAAGAGGAAGATTGAAAGTCAATTCAGAAGGCTGTTGATCCCTCCTATCTTCCAGGTAGGAAGAGCTGCCTGGCATAGCCAGGGAGCAGGAGAAGGGGGGAACAAGACGAGAGGCCTTTCCTACCCAGCCAGCAGAAAGAGACACAGCAGGCTTCTTCCACCCCCTGGTGGGGATGAAGAGGCACAAGACTCATAAGTAAAGGGCTTTGAAATATGCTCAGGTTCAATTCTATTTCTCCCAAGTAGAAGTAGAGTGACTTTGGGCAACTTAACCTAAATTCCTATTAAATAAAATATGAGCTATCCTTTCAAACATTAAAGCATGATAACTACTCACTTTATTCAACCGTTCAAGAGCTTATTGAGTGTCTCCTATTTGTTGATAGTAAAATAAATCATCAAAAGCATCAAATTAGATGCATGGCATATAACAGATATTCAAGAAGCAGTATCTTTCTTTAAAAAAATACATCATTCTGATTTCAAAATGTGTTCACTCTAAGACTATGGAATACACAGTATAGTGGACATGTTTATTTGCTCAGCATTCCTTCCTTTGGGGAAGTAACCCAACCAGAACCTAAAAAAAGTTCTCCTGGGCCATTGATGTGGGTGGAGTTTACGCCCTGGCCCCAACACACACACAGGCATGTGAGTCAGGTGAGCCTAATCAGAATATTTCATTCTGCAGACCACCTGCCCAGCAATGAACACACGAACCATTCTGGGACAATCACATTGTCCCCGGGTTTTTTCTGGAATCCCAAACTCGTAAGAACATTTGAGCATTCCAGGGTCACCTCTTGTCACCATGTGGGCAGAGCCGGTCTGAAAATGCAACCAGAGAAAAGACATGGAAAGCCAAAGACCTGGTCATATCATCTGAGTACTTGGATCCAGCCTTATCTGAAGCTGGTTCAACCTTTTGCCTTACAAGTTATAAAAGCCAATAAATGTCCTTTCCTTAAGTTGAATCAGGTTAAATTTCTGTCACTTGTAACTAAAAGGATTTAAATAAGATAAATAGAAAATCACTGTACATAAAAGTAAAATCACCCATAATCCTACAACCCACAGAAACTACTCTAACCTTGGAGTATGTGTTCCTCCCAGGTTCTGTTGTGCTGATGTTTTTGCTTTGTTTCATTTGTGTGTTTTGCAGGTGACTGGCGTGGTTCTTTTTAAAATAAGAAAACAGGTTTTTAAGCTAGACTCCCCCTCCCCCTTCTTGGACTTGAATCCTGATTCTGTCCCTTCTTTAGCTGTGTTGCTTTGGGAAAGTTACCCAACCTCTCTGATGTTACCCATATATAAAATGAGGATAATAACCCTAGCACCTCTCCATACATGACAACAGTTACTCATATTGTATATAACACTCCAAGATGTGATCTGAGGAATACCGAGCACTGTCCAACCATTACTTCCCTTGTTCCATACGTCTGACAACCTGCTGTCTCGGGCATGAGGGCTGTTTTTGCAGCTCTAACTCTTAACTCATAATTACATTATGTTAATTGTTTAAAATGAATCTTTTCTTACCCTGGCGAGTGTGGCTCAGTTGGTTGAGCATCGCCCCATGCACCAAGAGGTTGCAGGTTCAATTCTCAGTCAGAGCACATGCCCGGATTGCCAGCTCAGTCCCCAGTAGGAGGCATGCAGGAGGCAGCCAACTGATGTTTCTCTCTCTCATCAGTGTTTCTCTCTCCCTCTCTCTTCCTCTCTCCCTAAAATCAATTTTAAAAAAATATTAAAATGAATCTCTTCTTATTTGAGACATATACAATTCTGTTCTCTTTTTTTTAAAGCTGCAACTTGCCATTTTAAAAGAGAAAGAAACAGAGATAATAACTGGCTATGGGGAAAAGTTAAAAATAATGACTCCGCTTCCTGAGCCATTCATTATTTTTCTTTCTAAATAAAAACTGTATATCTTTAAGGTGTACAACATGCAGACCTGACATACGTACCCATAGAGAAATGATTGCAACCATCAAAGTAATAAGCCATCTCCTCACAGTTACCAATTTTGCGTGTGGCAAGAGCACCCGAAATCTACTGTCCCAGCAGCTTCCCAGCATTAGCTGCAGTCACCCTGCTGCACGCGCCTTGGGGCTCTGGCTGACTCATCCTACAGGACTGCAACCGCCCCTCATTCTTCACAACTCGTGAACAATGGGCTCCAGGCCAATGAAACGACGGGCAGGTGACGGCTGAAAGGCTTAAAGACTCCCAGGGGCTGTTTTAATTGATTCACAAGCCGGATGGGAACACAGTGTCCAGATTTAAAACAAAAAACCGGTAAAGCAGTTCTCGTAGCTGCCTCTGGGTCAGCTTTGAGACCATCGAAATAACATGTAACTGATTAATTACCATAGCGTGTGGGCCATGCTTTACATTACAGCGGCTTATTCAGGGATATTTTATAACTCGGCTCACTCACGGTGTAATAACTTGGCTCGCTTTCACTTTCTCAAGTGAGAGGTAAAAGGAGATCAGCAGAGCGGTGCCCATCGTGGGTCTTTACTAGCAAACCACAGGGAGCGCCGCTGATGTGTCAATGAACCGTGGCTGTTACACGAGTGTGGTGCTTTCTTACCCCCAAAGGTTTGGGGTTTCGCCCCCACCTGGGAATGCTAAGCGCACACATGTAAAGATCGTCCATCCTGTGTCTTGAGACAAAAACCCTGGGAATCACTGCTCTGTAGGATGCGTAACTGAGAAAGCAACGGGCGAGTTCAAATGAAACCATCTGAAAATAAGCCCTGATACGCGTGGCTTCAGATGACCACTGATGCACAGAATACTGACAGAAAGGAGATTTTTCGGACTTTAAGCCAAAAGGAAGCCCTCTTCACTGTATCACTGGGATTAGAGAGGATGGAAACACTGCGGTGGGGGAAACGCACCGTCCACAACAGAGCTAAGAGGCAGGAGCAGGGGCGGCACCGTGCGTGCGGGAACCAGAACACGGGAACAGGAGGCTCTCAAGTTCAAGATACGGCCTTGAGGAGCTGAGTAAATATTCAAGTGAAGAAAAGAAAATCAGATACGATGTGTTGTTTTGAGAGAGACTGACCTTCTCGGACCCTGGCTCTCGGGACGAGCCCTCCGAGTCCTCGTGCACTCGATCCAGCAGCCAGAGCAGGAACTCCAGGGCGTCGTGCTGGGAGTTGCCTTGGAACTGAGAGCCGTGCTTGGAAACGGCGTTCTGGAAGGACGAAAGAAAGCCGAGGGTCATCCTGGCCCTTCCGACAACCAAATGAGGGCCTACCTGCAGTCACCCTCCAGCCCTCACCAGGGGCGACCTCATGGAAACAGTCCGGGGCAGGCTCCCAGATGCTGTAAGGGTTTTCTGGACAGGAGAAGGCACCTTTTGTTCCAGGAAGACTGCTAATGTTGGCCTGCCCTTTGAAAACCACAGGGTGGTCCCTGTTGAATACTTTGATTCTGTTGACCACGTGCTCCCCCTTGATCTCTGGGAGCAGGCTCCCTGGTCCCCGTCCGTCAGTCTACTCCATGCCTCTGTCCGCCTTGCCTCCCCCTCCCCCAGGGGGCTCAGTCGCTCCCACAGCTTCAGCTCCCCTTGCGAAGGACCGCCTGGCGCAGTGCGCTTCCTTAAATACCGTGCACGAAGCTCCTGCACTGCCTCCTCTAATAGGTGTGAGATCTAAGAGCAACTTCTCTTTCTGTGGTTCGTTAGATCACAAAATGGTTCATCATCTTCAGCCTTCATTCCTCTAATAAATATCCGCTGGGTGCCCACCATGTGCACTGGGAACACAACCATGAACATGGCAGAACCTGCCTCCAGGACACTCGTATTCCCCGCACCCTTTGGGCTGTCCCGTTAAATTGTGTAACAACTTTGTCATTTTCTGTGTAAATGCATAGTCTAGCTTTTTAAAACTTTATTTCAAAGGGTAGTACACACACATACTTTAAGAAAAAGAATTCAAAATATTTTTTTTAAAAAAGGACAGTAATGAAAATCTTTCTTCTACTGGTCCCCAATCCCTGCACACCCCACCCCAGAGGGAGGCTGCTCTGAGCAGTATCTTAAGCACATTTCCAGGGCTTTTTTTTTTTTTTTTTATAGTCTATGAGGTTTGTGTCCACCTCATAGACCATCAACTCTTTATTTATTTATTTATTTATTTATTTAAAATATATCTTTATTGATTTCAGAGAGAGGAAGAGAGAGGGAGAGAGAAACATCAATGATGAGAGAGTCATTGATCAGCTGCCTCCTGCATGCTCCCGACTGGGGATCGAGCCCGCAACCCCGGGCATGTGCCCTGATCAGGAATCGAACAGCGATCTCCTGCATCCTAGACCGATGCTCAACCACTGAGCCACGCGCAGCCGGGCTTTCTGGGGATTTTTTTAATGCATGTGCAAGCACAAGCATGAGTGTAAGCGAATCCTCTCGCCTGTGTGTGTGCACACATACATATGGTTGCTTGTTCCCCCTGCCCCCCGAGACTGTAGAGGCAGGCTTCAGGCCTCATCGCACCCAGGTCTGTGCTCCGCTCACACCCGCTAAAGGGAGCAGTCCCAGCAGGGCTGTGCCCCCAGGCAAGCCTCGCCACCACCAACCAGAGCCAAGGGCCTGGGCTTGATTCCTTCTCTTTCATTTAATGTTTCCTTGGGATTTAGAGGAAACTTCAGGACGAGATGAAGCAAAATTCAAGATTTAATTAACTGAAATGCTGGAGCTGAGTCTATATTCCAGTCAAACTGGTCTGGTTCACTGGATGGTCTCGTTTGGATCCTTCCCTCCAGTTTCTGTGCACTTTGTAGGGCTGCCAGACTTAGCAGATAAAGTGAATAATAAATAAGCAGTAAACAATAAGTAATGTTTGTAGCATAAATACATCCCGTTAAACATTGGGGATATAGTTATACTAAAAAGTTATTTTTATCTGAAGTTCAAATTTAACTGGGCATCATGGATTTTACCTGGCCACCCCACCCCCAGCCACCCTCAAGCCTACACCCTTAGTACCAATATTCTCTCCTGGGGGAGCAGCCAGGCCCCTCCAACTGGAAATCTCTAAAATCAGCTCTTCCCCTTAATGTCCGTGTCCCCTTTCAGATTCTCTCTCACACCCACCTCAGTCAGTTGTCAAGCAGTCTGAATTCGGGGTCCCAAATTGTTTCTGCCCATTCCCATTCCCATTCCCACTCCCACTGCTGAGTCCTAACTACTGCTACCCAGATGACAATACCTACCTACAGAGGAGCCCAGCCCCAGCACCATGCCCCTGCCCACCCACTGCCCGCAGGACAGAACACACCCACCTTCCCACAGCGGGCTAACGCCGTGCCCCACTCCACACCTTCCTGATTCTCACTCGCCGCCTGGTCTGGCCACATCCCTGTGTCTCACAGCTCTCTCCTGTGTTTCAAAGCTCCAGGGAAATGAGCCACTCGGGTGCCCCAAACGTACTTTCCCACTTCAAAAGTCTGCACCTTTCCTCCTCCCTCCTCCCATGTGGAATCTATTCCCCTCCTGCTAATCATGCTAACCCTCTAAGACTGAGACTCTCCTCATGTTAGCCCGGCTATCAAGCCACACACCCTTTCCAGAAAGAGTTTGACAACTTCAAGAACACAGACAAGCTAGGGCCTTAAAAATGCTCCTTCAGTACAGTGGACCCTTGGACAGCACAGATTTGAACTGCACAGGTCCACTTTTATGCAATTTTTTTTCAGTAAGTACTGTAAATGTATTTTCTCTTCCTTACGATTTTCTTAAGATTTTCTTCTCTCTAGCTTACTTTATTGTGAGAATACAGCACATAATTTATATGACGTACATGGTATGTGTTAATCGGCTGTTTATGTTATTGGTAAGGCTCTGGTCAATAGTAGGCTACTAGTAGTTAAGTTTGGGGGGAGCCAAAAAGTTATACGCAGATTTTTGACTGAAGGGGGGACAGAGGAGGTCAATGCCCCAACCCCAGAGTTGTTCACAGGTCAACTGTAATTCTACTTTGGGGGATTTAGACTAAGAAATGAGAGATACAAAGATATCCCTAAGTATCAAAGTTACTGGGGAAAACCTATGGCACACTCATATTAGATGGCCTTAAAAATTATGTTTGGGGCCCCGGCTGGGTGATTCAGTTGGTTAGAGCATTGTACCATACACCAAAAACATTGCCGGTTCAATTCTGGCTCAGGGTACATATCTAGGTTGTGGGTTCAATCCCTGATTGGGGCGCACACAGGAGGCAACCAACCGATTGGTGTTTCTCTCTAGCACTGATGTTTTTTTCTCTCTCCATTCCTCTTTCTCTCAAATTGATAAACATATCCTCAGGTGAAGATAAAAAAAAAATTATGCTTGATGAAATACTAACAAAAAAAGAAAATAAATGATCCTGTCCTTTAAAAAGAAAGAATGTGCCCTGGCCAGTGTTGCTCCATTGGTTGAGCACTGTCCCATGCACCAAAAGGTCACCAGTTCCCTTCCCAGTCAGGGCACATACTCAAATTATGGTTTTGATCCCCAGTAGGGGTGTGTGCAGGAGGCAACCAATCGATGTTTCTCTCTCTCTCTCTCTCTCTCTCTCTCTCTCTCCCTCTCCCTTCCTCTCTCTCTAAAATCAATAGAAACATATTTAAAATAAGCAAAAATAAAGAATCCAAAAATATCTATTTGACATTATTTTATATGTATTTTTAGATAGATAAAAGACTAGGAAAATATATGGAAAAATATTAACAAATGGTTATCATAGAAGGATGGGTGCATGGTTGTTTTTTTCATTCTCATTTGTATATTGCAATTTTCTTTTTACAGTGAATTTTGTTCTTTATTGGTCTTTTTCAAATTATAACAGTATCTGGCAGGTGTTTTCCAGAATTTTTAAAATAACATAACCTATCAATTCCTACAGAGGACATTCCTATAAAAAGTCTATTGAAATGTGACTAGAGCTGCATCAAAGCTAAGTCCTAACCAGAGGAATGAACAAAAATATTTGGTATTTCTACCCTACAATGTGGCATCGCTCTATCTGTGTGTGTTTTCACTCTCTCTCAAACATTGATAATTTTTAACAGACTTCTTATTAAAATTATTCCTAGTTCTTTCATATTTCTGGTTCTTTTTATGAATAAAATCTAATTTTTATAATGTTCTAAATGGTGACAAATGGTTATTGCTCTTGACCTTCTATCTTGTATCTGACCTCAGTGATAATGGTAATTCTAAAATATGGATTTCTAGAGCCATTTGATAAGTTTCTTTAATATTTTTTGCTCCATGTCCATTTTATGTTGTAGTTTTGTCAAGAACTTCCAAAACATAAAATTGATGAAGTCCTCCTTGTTTTTTTTAAACAGCAGTGCCCTGAGTATATCACTTGAGGCATACTGTGTCTAAAACCATAGGTCTAAAACTGATCCTTAAGCACATAAGCTAAGATAAATTCCAGATGGCTGAAATCCTTAACATAACCTTAGAAAAACCAGAAACATAGAAAATATTCATCACAGGTATGATACAAATAAATCTAAAACTTCCAGTATCAGGATAGGAAGAAGGAAAGTCTGGAGAAAACATTTGCAGGAAATATGACAATGGTTGAGGAACTTGTAGAAACAAGTAAAAATAACATTAAAATCAAGGCAGAAGAGACAGACAAATGGCATAAACAGATAATTCCAAGAGCAGTCTTACGACTAGTAAGAAGCATGGAAAAATCCTGTATTTTACTTCTAATAAAAGAAATAACCAAAATTGTAAACACTGAGAGTAAGCTGGTGGTTTTCAGGGACTGAGGGGTGGGGCAATTGAGAGGTGTACAGACTTACAACTAGTGAACAAATAAGACCTGCAGACCTAAAAACAGTGCAGTGATTATAGACCACAGAACTGTGTTGAACTTGCTAAGAGACTGGATTTTAATAGCTCCCAACACTGGAAGAGATGATAATTATGTGATGTGACGGAGATGTTAGCTGACGCCACTATGGCAATCATACTGCAATATAAATATATTAAATCAATATGATATACAGGTGCCCTCCCTTATCCTTGGTTTTGCTTTGTGCGCTTTCAGTGACACAAAGTCCACAGAACATTGAAAATGTTAAACGGGAAATTTCAAAAATAAACTATAATAAGTTTTAAATTGCACTCCATTCTGAATAGCATGAGAGCTCTCACCGTCCTGCTCCGTCCCGCCTGGGACAGAATCATCCCCTTGCCCAGCGTCTCCAGGCTGC